TCCTTTGGTGTGCTTAAGTATATGCATGTTTCAGTAGATACATGTTCAGGAGCTATCTTTGCTTCCTTACATCGAGGAGAACGCCAAAAAGATGTACAAAACCATTGTATTGAAGCTTTCGCTCACCTTGGAGTTCCCAGACAAGTAAAAACAGATAATGGCCCAGCTTATACCAGCAGAGGGTTTGCACAGTTTTGTGCTGCCTGGTCTATTCATCATGTTACTGGCATTTCTTATAATCCTCAAGGCCAAGCTCTAGTGGAACGAGCACATGCTACCATCAAACAGTATCTAATTAAAATAAAAGAGGGGGAGATTGTGGGGCCAGAATCAGGACCAAATGTAAAATGATCATCTGTTTTATACATTTTAAATTTTTTAATGGTCGATAAACAGGGCCTTACTGCCATGACCCGACATTTTCAGGGCCGGCCTATGGTACAGGCGCAGGTTAGGTGGAAAGATCTGTCTACAGGTATCTGGAAAGACCCTGCCCCAATTCTGGCTAGAGTAAGGGGAACGGTGTGTGTTTATCCTCCAGATGCTGAGTCACCAGTGGGGGTTCCGGAGAGGTGTGTTCGTCCTATGGAAATGTCTATGGCTGATGGAAATGCTGCTTCTGATGTATCAAGTGAAGCCGGAGACAGTGTATTGGAGTCTGGTAAAAAATCCCCCAGTGCTGATGCCTGTAGGGATACATACCCCTATTTTCCTTCTATTTGTGCTAGTAATTGGACTATGGGCCGTCCGTCAGCTTGTATACCTATGGATAAAACTTTAATGTTTCTATTCCATCTCATCCTGACTTTTGAGGAGCCTATTAAAGTCAATTATTCTTCTGGGAAAAATTTTAGCATTTCCTCCTTTCCCTGTTTATACTGGGGCAGGAGGGGGTGCTTTATTAAAATTGTTCTGTTCAGAATTGCAGCCTTAGCAGTTGCTGGCTTGATGAAGATAATGTGTTAGTTATGAAGAATTCCTGCTGCCATTCCAATGCCAATGGAAGCATGTTCCCAGTTTCCTGTCCAGTTGCATAGAACAAAGAGAGGTTTTGGAATCACTGCCGCCATTGTTACTGCCATTGCTGTTTCTGCTGTTGCTGCTGCTACTGCAGGAATTGCCCTTTCTCAAAATACCCAGCAAGCTGATGTGGTGAAAAGAGTCTCTAATGCTTTGGACATTCAAAATCAGATAAATGGACATGTACATTCTGGACTGCCAACACTTAATCAACAGATGGTGTTGGTACAAGAACAATTAGATTTGTTATGAACTCAACAACATTCGACCTGCGCTCAGATGTACATATCTATGTGTGTGACCCTCGGGAGGGTTGTTGATGACTCTCATGAAGTTTGGAGGCTGAGTGGGTATGTTTCAGGGTCCTTGGGTATGATATTTGTGGATTTTACTGTGCAGCTTTTTCATGCCATACAGGCCATTGATGATGCTGGAGTTGTTCTAATTTCAGATATTGGATGGTGGGATTGGGTGGCCCAGGTTGGAGGCTGGTTTCAAAAATGGTCAGGATCACTTGCTATGGCAATCCTAGGATGTCTTGGAATTGGGGTATGCTTCTGGGCCCTCTGCCAACTTAAAATGCAATTCACCATTCATGCAGGTGTCACCCAACAAGCCCTGCTAGCTGTCTCAGCACACACTGAATCCACTCAGAAGCTTGATAAACAGTAACCAGAGACGGGGAACTTCCTAGGATAGCATGGGCGCCTAAGACAGGAAGTATGGAGGGCACTTTCCTATGACGGGTAAGTTCATGCTACCGGGTCGACCTAAGACAGGTGCCGCTTAAATAAATAAAAAGGGAGATGTTGGGATCAGAATGGCTCTGACCCCTCTAAGATTGCCCCCACCTCCCCTGTTCTGAGTGCGCTGTTCTGCAGATGTTTTGCTGTTTGGTATATCTCTTGGTTTGGCAGCTGTGGCTTCCTGGGGCATGCTGACCGTTCCTTGACCCTGCGTGCTTGATAAACAATTTTGTTTGTTTCCTCCTGGAAGGGTATATAAGATGGGGAAGAAAGAATAAAGAAAGTCCTGATGCTTGCAACTTGACTGGTGTGTGCTGTGTTCATCCCGACTTCCCTCACCAGGTTTTGGGCCCAATTGCTGTGCAGGCGTGGCAGCAGTTAGTGCTTTTAACTATAGCACTATTTCTTTAGACCCAGAATAAATGTTTTAAACAAACTATGCGACCCTTTAAAAATAAAAATAGATGAATTAAAGTTATAATACTTGAAGTATTTTTGTAGTTATGTAGTTTGGGTTCACAAGTATTCTCACTCGTAAAAGCCTAGGGTAGTAAAATAGCTCAGTGCTAGTTCTACTGTGCATGTGTGAGCCAAGAGTTCAGTCCTAAGTACAACAAAAACACAAAAAGTTAACTGAATTATTTCAATATTAAATTTGAGTGGTACTATAAAAACTGTGATGGCTTTTTTTGTTAGGGCATGGTTCCCCCCATCCTCAACAATGCAAACCTATTCTCCAGGATGGGTGTTTACTCAGAAGCTCAAATATAATTACATAACCACTGTCTACAAATACAAAACTTACATGAATAGTAAAAATGAGTTAAGGGATCAAGGAGTGTTAGGAGACAGTACTGTATCATTAACCATTCTGATAATAAAATGCTCAGGTCAGGTTTAGTCTCCATTACCTTGCAATTAGATTCACCATCAAGACTGGCTGTAGTAACATAGCAGGTTCCATCAGTCGTGCAGGATGACAGAAGAATAAGATCACAGGGAAAGGTTTCATCTGCCTGTACTTCTACTACATCACCAACCTAAAATAGCAGAATAAATATTTTCAATTCTAAACAAAGCATTCAGTATAGCTCACATTAAAGCTACAACTTTCTTAAGAGCCATCTACAGATTTGAGACTTTGAGAGTATCTTAGCATTCTCCAGCACATTCAAAGAAATGAAAGACTATCACTAAACATTCGGACTCCTCTTAAAGGGCATAAAGATTTCGGATACTTTTGTCATGTTATAAGAAATTCCGATATCCATCTGTTCTGTATTCTCTGATATTCCTGAAACTGATATGTAATAAGACAATTTCTACAGCCATTTAAAGAACAAAGCAAGAAAATCTATAGGTTTCAAGTTAGGTACTTCATGACCACAGCCCTCCACATTTTTACTTTGAACTACATATATTTCAGCATATTTTGTATGCAGTTGTGATTGTTGGGTTCCTTCTTTAGTGTTCAAAAAACTTCAGTTAATTGAGAAAAGTATCAATTTTCCTCATAATTGGGGGGGGGCGAGGTTCTTAGGTAAGCTTTCCAAGAATTCATCTATCAGAAGAACCAGTTAATACAGCAGTAACAATCTCTCATCAGCAAGTATCCTGAACTCAAGTAGAAGAAAAACTTGAGAGATGAAATCTTGAACAATTCAATGATGCAAAGAACAAAGCATAAAACTGAAGACTTTTAAACCTGAATTCATGTCCCAGCTTTGTTAGTAAATAAATATAACCTCAGGTAAATGTCTTAGATGATTCTAATAAGTGCAAAAGACTGATGTTTGAAATGATGATACAAGCAGAACATTAATGTGCACATATTAACTTTCTGATGGGTGTCAATAATACTTAGTAATGCAATGTAACTACTTTATTCACAAATTGAGAATAACAGAGTATATTTCTTGAGAAGGATATAAGAAAGCCTTCAGATAACACTTCCCAACAATTTTCATGGTGAGGATTTTAGGCCTATTCAAACGGAAAAATTATTTTCTTTGTTAACATAACTAAATATCCAAGATCACCAGAATTAGCAATTATAATTAAATTAATTTTAAAATATTATTCTATTTTTTAGATGTTTCCTTCCACAGTTACATAAGTGCTTAGGTTATGATATAACCATAGCTATATTTAAACGTATAGAAGAAATACCACAACGGGCCAGGCCAGGCAGGCTAAGGAATTTAGGCTTCACCCTGAAGCCAAAGGAGAAGGCAACTGTAAGGAAAGAGAATTATTCATTCAACTCATAGTTCTGTTTTTATTTACCATTTAAAAACATTTAAATAAATATGTACTAGTGTTTTGCCTACATGTATGTAAGTGCACTGTATACATGCCTAGTGGTTGCGGACACCAGAAGAGGGTGCCAGAACCTTTGAAGTAGAGTTGTGAGGAGCTATGTGGGAGCTAGGAACTGATCCCAGGTCCTCTGCAAAAGTAGCAATTGTTCTCTCTTTTTTTTTTTTTCTTTTCCGAGACAGGGTTTCTCGGTGTAGCTTTGTGCCTTTCCTGGAATTCATTCTGTAGACCAGGCTGGCCTTGACCTCACAGAGATCTGCCTGCCTCTGCTTCCCAGTGCTGGGATTAAAGGTGTGCACCACCACTGCCCAGCTAGCAATTGCTCTTAACTTTGAGCCATCTCTCCAGTACCTCTATCATTTTTAAAGGGAGCTGGCAAAATGGCTCAGCAGGTAAAGACACTTACTACCAAGTGTGATCACCTCACTTCAATCCCCAGAACCCACATGGTAGGAGAGAACTAATTCCCACAATTTTTCCTTTGATCTCCTTACATAGACACTGCAACATGCATGTATACCACATATATGCACACAAATAAGCAACATACATAAAATAGAAAAATAATAAAACTGATTTCCTGTCCTGTCTCCCTTCCAAGGGTCTGATTATTCTTTGTCTTGCATATTCAGTCCTCTGATAATATATATAATATTCATTTGCCTGCACTGATGGCTAAGTAAAGCATGTGTGCAGTGCCCACAAGACAGAATAGGACATTAGATCCCCTGAGAATGGAATTATAGATGGTTGTGGGCCACCATGCGAATGCTGGGGATCAAACCAGGCTCCTCCAGAAAGAACAGCCAGTGCTCTTAACCACTGAGCCATCTCTCTAGCCCTAGATGATCTGTTTTATAACACCAAGGGAACACATGAGGAAAAATGACTATCATAAACGTGATTAATAAGAAAACAAACAACAAAGTAGAGTGGTAGAAATTGTATATTCACTAAGGCTTTATTTATGATGAGCAAGTTCTCTACAACTAAACTATGAGCATTATAAGTACAGACATTAACAGATCAATAAGTTACCCAAGCTGTCCTTGTACTTGCTCTGTGTAGGGTAGGGAGGACTTAAACTTGTGATGTCTCTGCCTCAGCCTTCTGAGTAGCTGGATTACAGGTCTCTGACACTAGGACCAATAATAATTTAAGTAATTTTTTTTCTATTTTAATTAACTTATTGCATGTATATCATGTGTGTGGGCCAATGTACCACAGTGAGTACTTGGAGGTCAGATGAAAACTTGTGGGAGTCATATCTCTTCTTTCTATCATGTGGGTCCTTGGAACTGAACTCAGGTCATCAAGCTTGGTAGCAGATGCCTTTACTCACTTAGCCATCTCACTGGCCCTCCAAATCAATTCTTTTTTTAATTAATTAAACTTATTCATTTATTTTACATCCAGGACACAGTTTCCCCTCCCTCCTCTGTGGAATATTCCTTCACACTGTGTGAATATATGTCACTGTAATTGGTTTAATAAAAAAGTTAAACAGCCAGTAGTTAGGCAGGATTTTCAGGGCAGAGTCTGGGAAGTCGTGAGGAAATGAAGAGAAAGCAGGACATGAAATTGTCGTACTGAGAAAAAGGTACCAAGCCACATAGCAGAGCATAGATAAGAAGTATGGGTTAATTTAAGTTGTAAGCGCTAGTTAATAACAAACTGAGCTATTGGCCGAGCATTTATAATTAATAAGTCTCTGTATGATTATTTGAGAACTGGCTGGTGGGGCAGAAAAGTCCACCTACACCCCTCTCCTCCCATTCCTTCCTCCCATCTCCCCTCTGTGCCCCCCCATAAACTCCTCTGTTTCTGTGCAGAAAGTTGCAGGCCTCCCATGGGTGTCAACAAAGCATGGCCTATCAAGTTGAGGAAGGACTAAGCTCCTCCCCTTGCTTTAAAGCTTGGTAAGGCAACCCAGTAAGAGGAATAGGTTCCCAAAAGCCAGCTAAAGTGTCAGGGACAGGCTGCACTCCCACTGCTAGGAGTCCCACAAGTAGACCAAGCTATACAACTGTAACACATATGTACAGGGCCTAGGTTGGTCTTTAGCTGTCTGTTCAGGGTCTTTGAGCTCCTAAGAGCCCAGGTTAATTGTCCTTGTGGGTTCCCTTCTAATGACATTGACACACAACCCTCCTCCACCAGCTCATACAATCCTTCCTCCCTCTCTTCAACAAGATTCCGGAGCTCAGCTCAGTGCTTGGCTGTGGATCTCTGCATCTGCTTCTATCAGTTACCGGACGAAGCTCTCTGATGACAATTAGTGTAGTGGGGGCATTTCGGGGTCAGGTAGAAAGCTGGTGCAAGGGAAACTCCCATAAATTTACAAAGATAACCCCAGCTAAGACTCCTAGCAATAGTGGATAGGTAGCCTGAACTGGCCATCTCCTTCAAGCAATTCTTAAAGGCTAGGTATAAGCTACAGTGACAGTTTAGAGTCTCTACAAGCTTGAGAGTTAAGAGTGGACCATTTCTCAGCTCTTTTCCACAGGCTCCTACTGTTCTCATGAGAAAGAATGAGGACCTAAACGGACCATCTTTACTGGTACAGCCACAGGAGTGATCAACTGCTATGGGGAGACAGGCACAAGGCATGAGAGCATCATGCACCCTTCTTTATAGGAAGCAAAAAGCTCATTTACATCTAGGACAGATGCAGAGAAGAGGTAGAAGAAAGAAAACACAAACAAGCTGTTGCAAGAGATGAGATAGGAAGCCCATTCATACAAAGAACCTGACTCCCATGAGAGATAGGACTGTAAGACTAGAAAACTAGTTTTATATGCTATCGGGGACTATGGGGGTCCAGCCCCTCGATAGTCCCCTCCCAGGGTCCGGGAAGAATCTACAACCAGCTGATAACTAATCTTTGATGAGAAGAAATGAATCTATGTACACAAAACTCCTTAGTTCATACACTTTATTATTATTCTGTGATAGTTCTCTCTCCACATAGTTTCTATTCTGCTC